TCAATAATATCCTTTAGCTATAGATGTGCTAAGAAATTGTAAATTAGTGGCAGCATGTATATTATTTTCAATGAACAAATGTCATGAGCAATGTTATAATTACGATAAAATCGATGGGGGAAGGCTGTAAGCACTTCTTTCTTGTTCAACAATTTGTGTTGTCGGAACGTTTTTTTAGATATTTAGATTTTTTAAAAAAAAAATTGCTTATATACTTATTGATTGCGGCTTCGGCATAAGACCCTCGGGTCGGGGGTTCGAATCCACGCTCAAAAGGGTAGATTCGAATTAGCACATGGACTGAAAAAGGTTCTCTCGATCAGTTTTATTTAGCTATTTCAAGGAATTAGTATAAGCATTTTATAGGCTCTTCCACGAACCGGGGGGCGAAATCTTGGTGGAGCACTAAGTCAAAGGCAGCCGTTGGGAACATGTAAATGCACGATGAAAGATGGAAAGCACTTTAAGGGTTAAGAGGAGAGCATGGATATAGAGATGACCAGCAGTGTGGTGACTTGATTGATGAAAGAAGTCGGCGGATGACCTACTCGTGTTGGTGGCATGATTAATTGTGAATTACTTACATCTTCAAACAAAGCTCTCGTTTGATGGGATTAATAAATTTAATAGCTTGTACTGAGAAAATGAACGACTGCTTCATTAGTACACATTTCCTAGTAAATTACGCTTAAATTTTTCGTTATGAAAAGCTGGGAAATGGCCATTTATGAAAAAAAAAAAAAGAGGATTTATTTACCATACCACTCAATTCAAATGTGTATTTACATATCTCTAACACCTAAACTTCAATTTTTTACAAAATACGACTTATATATATGCATGGAACAGTGCATTTCACTTTTTAAAAGTTAAAATAATGATATTTTTCATGTGATATGAAAGATTTGAGTGACATAAATATAAAGAATACGGTTTAGTTGCTATATATATATATATATATATATATATTTAAATACATAAGAATTGTGTGCTTGGTACGTAAATTTTCCAAAGAAAAATGGAAGCACACTAACCCAATCATGCCAAGAACGATTTAAATTTACAATTAACATGAATTATGTTAATCTAATTATTCCCCTCCACCAAACCACTTCTTGGAGGTCCCACGTTGCATATATGCTATGCTTCACTGAATAAAAATATGATGGGAATATATATCTTGCTGTTTTAAGCGAATATATTGTCACACTGTCAATGGAGAATGAGCTCATTAAGCTGCATATATATACGGAATATATATTTTGGAGTAGTTCTTTAGCACATAATTTTATGACTTTGCTGCTATTAATTATGCTGATGCGACGTGTGTGGGTGCCGCGTACTCAGATCAATTGGTCGGGCATCTATTTATCAATTGTAAATCTCCTCTGATATGGAGTTTGATTCCCCCTGAGTGTAGAGTGTGGCACTCGAATTGTTAGGCGCATGAGGGATGATCGAGGCTCGTATAATAGCCTCCGACCATTCTTTAAAAAAACAAATAAATAAATAAAATTAATATATACGTATATATTTATATATGTATATATGTATATATGCCCAATAGAGCATGTGTTATAAGAAAATTATTTTAATTTTATTAATCATGTATTTTTTTTTTCTATAAAGCAACTTATTTCAAAAGCATAAATTCGATATTTTAAAAGAAATAAAATGTAATGTACATATAAAATATGTCATCAAAAATCTCAAGACAGATGAATTGCTTTGGTTGAAGAAAAAATTGATCAAACTAAGTTGTTGACAACCGTTTTGGTTGGACACTAGCGAGAGAAGCATCTTGTTCGAGCGATAGGCGAACATGCCAGGAGATTTTTTTCAAGGTAGTGATCATCCCTTAGAACGATAGACAGAAATCATCCTTTCTGGTTAAATATCGATCGGGTCAAGGCTTACCGGACGATCGGCGAACTATTATGAATCGAATCAGTTCCCTGATCTTATAATAATAATTTAGTAATTACTAAAAAGTATCTCTAAAAAGTCAATGATGAGGGGACTAATACTTATTTTTGTAACACTGAGATCTATATCTATAAATAGAGGGTTCATGTCATGAATAAAAGTTAAACTCCTTTTACTATTCTTGATTGAACTCTCTACATTATATGTATGTATGTATGTATGTATTCATGTATATATATTGAATTGGCATACATGTTCATCAAAGATCAAATAAAAAAAATATATGATTAGGTTAATTATAGAGTGGTCAAATTTTTTTAAACTCAACTTCGCATAAATATTTTTATCAATTGTATGTAAAATTAAACAAAAATAATTTCATCTAACAAGACAGTTATCTACACTGGTCATAATGACGTCTAAAATAAATCTTTTTCAGCATCATCTAGTCTCGTGAATCAAGATCCCACTCAATCATAAATATATATATAAGGTGAATCACATATTTTTTTGAATTTTACTCAATCATAAAAGAAGTGAACAAAAGTCATTAGAACTACAAAATCAACTTATCACAATAGAATCATCAACTTAAAAGCACTCTGTTAGAATGTAAATCAAAGTATAGTTAGAGAAACTTATATTCATACACATTTTCAACTCAAAAGCTTAAGCACATAGAAAGAGCAAATCATTTGTTATTTTAATGTAAGTATGCTCTTTTCCTATCTAATATGAAACTAAAACCAAAACATCACTTGCATTAAAATTAGCACATCATACTTTTGGAGCAAGTCATGATTGGTGGACACATCAGTGTGACAAATTGCCTTGTCCACATTAGTGAGTTATAGGATTTCGTGATGTAGAAGCATTGTGAGGCCAGAATTCTAAACAGCTAATGCTTATCTTGTCACAATTTTGAATGGCTCCTCATGAATTTCATCATCCTGATGCCTTTGTTGGCTCCATCATCAAACAAAATTTTAAACATTATCCAAAAGAAGAAAGCAATATTGTGCACAAAAGCTGGATGGCATACAAAGACCAACTTTATTCATAATTTATGAGTATGAATACATCAAAATGAGCACTGTTGTATAAAATGATAATATGTCGCATACATTTTAAGTACATGTCACGTGTAGCATTTCTGAGACTGAATACTCTATTAGATGTTATGACTTGGATGCAATATTTCCTAGAAGGCAACAAAGTTGCTGAACTTGTTATTGATGCAACTTTCAGAAAAAAATATTCAGAATGAGGTGTCTGGGTTGGAGATAAGATAGTTCTAATAGAAGATATACTTATTAAAATAATTGAGAAAATATTTTGATTTTTGAGGAGGAAAATTAGTGCATGATGTTCAATTTCAAAATATGAGATATTGATAATTTTCAATAAACATTATTATATTTATATATATTGAATTTTACATGCTGAATAATGTAAATCTGAACAAAAAGATAACTTTTAGTGTTGAAATAAGGTTGACAAGAATTTGAGTTTGAGTAAGTTTTATTGTAGTTAATCTCAGTAATTTTTAGCTTAACTCAAATCAGGCTCAATTTTAATTTCATGTCGAGCTTGGACCAGGAGTTATTTTCTACATGGGTTATGTCAACGATATATATAATATTCAATAATATTGATTTAAACCAATATGAATCTCAAATGAGGCACTGTAAACTCGAATTAGGCTTCAAACAAAGTACCCTAGCTCGGCATCCAGCACCAACCCGTTAGAGTAGATTTCTGTTTAACAAATCCATTTTATACTTTGGAATATGTGCTGCAGTTGGATAGGTTATAGAATTACATTATCACAAACGAAGGGTTCCGAATATTTGTACTACAACTGCAGCATTATTGCATTTCGTGGTAATTTGTTGGTATTTGGTATTATTGGATGTAGCTATCATGCATGCTTTCGTCGGTGCACTTTTCAGTTCTGTAGATGCTTATTCCTTTTCAACTGGCTACTTGCAGGTTTGCTCCCAATACGAAAAGAAGGAAATTATTTAAAAGAATACAATGAGAATAATGCCACAATGATTCAATGAATCAATTCTCCAGATGTGGTGTTGTTCTTTTTGGAATTATAAATGACTAAAGAATGTAAACTTGATGTTAAATGCTGTGGAGTCTACAACTTTAACTAAATAAATAAATGATATAAACTTACATACTAGCACACAATTTTTATGTATTTATCTCACACAGTAGAATGTAAACTTGATGCTAAGTGCTGTGGAGTCTACAACTTTAACGAAAAAAATAAATGATAAAAACGAACAAACTAGCACACAATTTTTATGTATTTATCTCACACAGCCTAGTTTTCATATTTACATAACATTTTAGTGCTTTAAACCTATAAATAAAAAAGAAATATTTTACATTTTAAATATAATAGTGCTGTTTTTTTATGTGAAATTAAAATTTTAAACTGTGTAAAATATGAAACTATGTAAGAAAATTAAAATTATATCCACACACACACACACATAAGTCTAAAGTATTTATATCAACAACCAAAGTGAAATTTATGTGTTAAGATAACTATATACATAAAAATTGAGTGTTATGTTGCTAAACCTTTAAATTTTATACAGCTCCTTAATTAAAAATATCCATGCATTACAATTATTTACACATGCAAACCTAACAAAGAAAGGAAAACGCCAAAAGATACTGCAGCAATCCAGAAAATCATAAAATTTATCCTCCTAGTTTGATTTCCAAACAGTTCAACACATGGAAGCACAAGCGTCACAATTAGTGAATGTATATATACTTGATGCAGCCAGCTTTAGTTTTTTGGAAACAAACAGCAGCAGAGCTGCGAAAATGGAGTACATCTTAATAAATTTTGCTGCAGCAGTGCACGAAATTTAATCTATCAAAAATTTGCAGTGCAGACCGCTGTTGAAACCTTCCATAATGCTACAATCAAACAAACAAATTGCAAGTCTTCATTTTGGGAAAGAAATTAAAACATACAAAGATTGTTCAGAAATCATTCACCCCAAATCTAATCGACATGTATATATCTAAGAACATACGGAATATTGACCAAATAAGTGGACTATTGAAAAGATTACTGCACGTAATAATTTTCAGAATTCAGAATCTTGATGCCATGTAACAGTACACGGTAACATGAAGGTTTAACAAATATCTACAGATATGATCAGCAATTACCCAAAACCGTAATAATGAGCATCAAATGCGCCGAGCACAGCTCAATCCAGGCTAAGAGCCTATGAACAGCAGCTGCTCTTCTGAGCAACTGGCTGCCCCCTCATCTGCACAGTTGCCGCAGGCCTGCTGGCATTCACCGTTGGTTGGCTTGCCATGCTGTAACGCAAAAAGAGATAAATTCACAATTAGAGAGCAGATATTCTTAGATGTTTGATGATATCATATGCTACTGTTTGAAAGTATATGGGAAGATTTCAATACGTGCCAATCAATTCCTATGTATTTACCTATCTAACACCTATACTTCAATTGTTACGTACATGAAAAGGTGCAGTTCAGTTTTTGAAAGTTAAAATGGTGGTATTTTCTATGTAATATGAAAGATTTGGGCGGTATAAATGTAAAAAAGTAAAATTTAGGTGTTAGATATATAAATACATAGGAGGGTGGTATGTACGTAAATAACCCTTAAAAGCATGACGCTCACCGGCTTTTTATCTCCGATGTCATTTTCATGAATGCTTGTTCAACATTGGTAGCATCCTTGGCACTCGTCTCCAAAAAGGGGATGCCAACCTCGTCCGCTAAGGCCTACAAAAGAGAACCATAGAAATAGACGTGTGAAAAAGCCTAACTGGAGAAATGGGAGTTAAGCCATTAATAAGCTTTATTTTTATTGTTCCACATAGCTAAGAATGAGGTCGACGAGTACTTTAATTACCTTGCCAGCTTCATAGGCAACCACCCTTTCATCTGTCAAATCACATTTGTTGCCCACTAAGAGCTTGTTCACACTGTCGGTTGCATAGCGGTCGATCTCATTCAGCCATTGTTTCACATTATTAAAGCTTTCTTGGTCCGTCACATCGTAAACGACCTAAACAGAATGAATCTTCACTATTTCACAAGCTTTCATGATCCTTGCATGGATCATAAGATAGCAGCTAAAGAGTATAATGAGTAGAGATTGGCTTGAAAGTTACAATTATGCCATGAGCACCACGATAATAACTGCTAGTAATTGTACGGAAGCGCTCCTGCCCAGCAGTATCCCACTAGGTAGAAAAATATCAAAATATTAGTCCAAATAGTTGGTTGACAAAGCTGGTAAAATTTTAGTACTTACTATCTGTAGCTTTATGGTTTTTCCATCCTGCTCTACAGTGCGAATTTTCTAGATGGAACAAAGTTTCGGGTTAGGAATTGCAAGCAAGCAAGGCAGGGAAGCTTGAGACTGACAAAACTTACAAAATCAACTCCAATTGTGCTGATGTAGCTCTCCAAGTAAGAATCATCCTATGCAGTGAACAAATTAATCAATCTGTGAGCAAGATTTAATCAAGCCACCATCATGCAAAGAGAAATTTTTATTTTTAAAAAAAATGATGGCATGCCATAAAGAATATAAAAGAAAAGATAGCATATTTTGATGACAAAAATGCAAAGAAAAAACATTGCAAAAAAAATATACAAATCATGCATGCATTTATTAACCAAATGTGTGGAGCATTGCACAGATGGAAAAGTCCAAACATAGAAAATCTGCACAGCAAAGAAAACGCTGAATCTAAGAAATAATCTAGTTCGCAAAGTGAGATGTCTAACTCCTAAAAAAGAGTAATTTGCAATCCTATACCATCCTCAGGCTGTGAATTCCTCAAAAGCATAATTCAATACAAAAAAAATAATAATAATTTGAAGTTGATCATCACCTGATACTAGGAATTAATTTGCTCAACCAACAATTCAAATGGAGAAATTAAAGAACAAAACAAAAGCAAAAGTCTATGAGAATGAAAGCTAAAATTATAGATAATGAAATGAAATGCTTAGGATTGATGCAGGCAAATCACTCTCTTAAGCTAAAGAAGTGAACATATGACATAAAAAGTTTGAGAATGCAATTTAGTGCTTCTCTATTAAAAAACTGTGTATATCAAGGTTTTTTATGAGTATAGAAAATTTTGAAGGAAAGCAATATATTATAAAGGATTTGAGCAGCTTCTTCACTTCAGACTGCTGTCACAATACTATTTGACTACTATTTTATTATTGCTTTTCAAAAATTTTAGTGAGAAATATCTTTGCACAACAAATTTGATAGAGGATTGTAAAACTTATTATACCCTGGCAGCGTCAAAAAAGCTAATTTTCTCACAACTATATAGCTACCATAATAAACAGTTACAAAAGCCCCAAATAGACCATGTTTACCTCCATGAGTGGCTTCATGATCATCGGCAACACACACGTTATTTCATATTATTTGTAGAGTAGCTAGTTCATCTTAGCATTAGTTGGAACGTTATTTCATATAATACCGCAGAGTAATATCAAAGGAAGTCTAAAGCTGTAAGAATTCTTCCAGAAAATTTCAAAGAAAGTTAAAAGCTGTAAGAATTCTTCCTGAAACACAAGCAACATTGGCGGAAATTTCATAAAAACTCAACTAGGCCCATCAATTATACAACTTAGGCTCAGTTTGGGGCAGTGTTTGAAGCCGCGGAAATGCGTCATTTGGGGCGGCGGTTCTCAGGCGTCATGTGGCGTTTTTAGTAAAAGATATGTATACTAAAGCTGTTACTTGTGTTCGAACAGAAGGGGTATTGACCAAATATTTTCCTATTTCTGTTGGATTACATTAGGGATCGGCTTTAAACCTATATCTTTTTGCTTTAGTTATGAATGATCTTACTAGACATTTACATAAGGACGTACCTTGGTGAATGCTTTTTGTTGATGATATCTTTCTCGTGGATAAAACAAGAGAGAAAGCTCAGAAAAAACTTGAATTATGGAGATTTACATTGGAGTCTAAAGGCCTTCATTTGAGTAGAACTAAAACTGAATCCATGGAATGTAATTTTAGTAGCAGTATGTCACAGACAAATAGTCCCACATTGGCTAGGTGTAGAGCCGAAAAGCAGTATTTAAGTCCTGGGCTGCCCGCCACCCACAAGGGCTCTTTTGGGAGGTGACAAGTGGTATCAGAGCAGACTACTGTCTGCCAGGTGTGTGGACTCTCCATGGTTTGAAGCCGCAGAAATGCATCATTTGGGGCGGCGGTGCTCGGGCGTCATGTGGCGTTTTTAGTAAAAGATATGTATACTAGAACTGTTAATTGTGTTCGAACAGAAGGGGGATTGACCAAATATTTTCCTATTTCTGTTGGATTACATTAGGGATTGGCTTTAAACCTATATCTTTTTGCTTTAGTTATGGATGGTCTTACTAGACATTTACAAGAGGACGTACCTTGGTTTATGCTTTTTGCAGATGATATCTTTCTCGTGGATAAAACGAGAGAGAGCTCAAGAAAAACTTGAATTATGGAGGTCTACATTGGAGTCTAAAGGCCTTCGTTTGAGTAGAACTAAAACTGAATCCTTAGTAACAGAATTGTAAATACGGGTGATCAAATTATTAAAAGGTATGAAAGCTTTAGATATCTCAGGTCTATTGTTCAATATGATAGTGATATAGATGGGGATGTTATTAGAAGAATTCAAGTTGGTTGGTTGTTGGGGGAATGGAGGAATGCCTCAGACCTATTGTGTGATAGAAAAGTACCGCTCAGACTGAAAGGAAAATTTTATAATATGATGATGAGTCCATGATGATGAGACCTGCAATGCTCTATGGTGTTGAATGTTGGCGTTGAATGTTGACCTTTAAAGGAGAAGCATAAATCTAATTTAAGTGTTGCCAAGATGAGAATGATTAGGTTTTTAGTGTTGCCAAGATGAGAATGATTGGGTGGATGAGTGGCTTTACACTTAGAGACAAAATGCGAAATGAATATATCTGTCATAGGGGTGATGTAGCTCCAGTGACAAACAAAATTAGAGAGAGCCGTCTTAGATGGTTTGGTTGCATTAAAAGCCAACTATCTGATGATCCGATTAAGAGAGTAGATGTTTTAGATTCAACTTATGTAGAAAGTCAGAGGTAGACCTAGAATGACTTGGGCATATTGTATAAGAATGATCTTAATTTATTAGAATTAAATAAAAATATGACACTTGACGTAATGGAGAAAAGGATTCATGTAGTCAACCCCACTTAATAGGATAAAGGTTTTGTTGATATTAGGTTTTGTTGTAATTGTTGTTGCAAAACAAGCAAATGAATAATTTAAGTCAAGAACAGGATATAAATCACACAAAAATGAAGAAAATGTCTAACATCAATGCAAGAAGCATGCCTTGAAAATTAACATCCTTGTTTTCAAGGCACTCTAATGGCCCAATTAGGAGAGTAGATGTGTTAGATTTGACCTGTGTTAAGAAAGCTGTGTTAAGAAAGATAGAGATAGACCTAAAAAGTCTTCTTAGTTTCTTAGCATTAAATGAAAATATGATTAGTCAAACCCACATAATGGTATAAAGGCTTATTGTTGTTGTTTTTGTCTTCAAGGCACTCTAAGCATACATGGAAATTTTGATGTTTCATTTCAATATTTGATGATCAGCAATTTAGTGAGCCTCAAGAGTCCCTATTTATAAGCTTCAAAGGGCACAACATAAAAAACAATACAAAATCTATTAAAATCTACTCAAAACAAGAAGTTTATTTCACCCCTTTTGAACTTCAATAGAAAATCTTTCATAAAAACCAATTCTAGAATTGTTTGATGGATCCCAAAAAACAAAATAGCATTTCAAGCAAAACATAGAGCTAGCAAGGAAAAACGCTCAGAATTTGCACATGAAGCATTTAGTGCAAAACAAAGAAGCAGTAAGAAGGCATGTGAATAGCATTAGCATTATAAACGTGAAGCAAAAGGTGCTAGCGGTATTATAAAATGAAAACAGAAAACAAGATGAACGGTGAGAAAAGTAGGGAGAGGACCTAGAAATAATAGCAATAGAGAAGGATAAAGGATATCAAAAGCAACACAGGAATAAAATTGTTGACAGAAACCAAAAATTTGGGGGAAACAAGAAAAATGATTCAAAAAAAAAGCAATTGTAGCAATATTTGGTGGAAAAAATAATTAGTAAAATGTAGCAAAAGCTGATAATGATTTTACAAAACATGTCTTAAATGGATTTTCATGGTTGAGTTGAAGCCATACAGTAATGTGTTTAAACCAAAAAACAATATTCAAAACAACAAAAGAACATGTCCTTTACAAAGAAGCCGACATCCTAAGCATGTTTCTATAACTGAAATGAACTACAAAAGAAAAATTATCAATAAATACATAACAATTGCATTCTATATAAACACGAACATCCATAACTGAATCATTTGCCTGGCTTGAAAGAATTCAAGTTCTATGAATTTGTTACGCCAAATTTATCATGTAAATATAAACTATTGTTTGCAAATTAATACATGAAGAAGGCTATCATGCAATAGACAAAAAATACATTATATCCAATATCAATAGTAGTCAAAATTCGATATATGTAAGTTAGCTTCCAGAACAAAACAAGGATATTCATTTGAGGTGTTAAATGTGAATTTGAAAGGAGATAAATGGGAGAATAGACCACAATATTGGCAATAGGTTCACAAAATAAAGTCAAATGAGATTCATTTAAGATAGGACTGATACAAATACTTCCCCAGAATTCCAATATGAAAGTCTTAGTCTCAATAAGCTGCAAAACTTTATATTGCTCATCCTTTCTTCTTGTTAATTTATTAAAAGCTCATGTTGTAAACCAATTTTAGATTTAAATGCACTATTACATTATCATTTTATTTGAATTCCACATGTACCATTTTTACTCTACAACTAACTTATAATTGTTAGTTTTGTGTGAATCCCTCCATGCAAATTAAACAATAATAAAAATGCTAAAAAGCAAATTTGTGGCCTATATAATTAATAACTTAGTCAATTCAGGGAATAAAAAACATGCAAACCACACATATTATGCATTAATAAACGAATCACATCTCTAAATTCGGCTAACCCGAATGATTTACATACTAGAGGTGAAGATTTATGTGCATCAAAATCAAATCTCATTTTATGGTTTTCATTATTAGGAATTTTTATTGAAATGCTGATACCACTTTACTTTCTCCCTAAATCTCTTTTTATTAATCTGAATGTAAAAAAATCAAGAACAAAAAATAAATCAATTTCAATTTGAATGACAATGCTAATTTCATTAGAACTCTTATCAATGGTTATATCAGCTCACACAATTTATTTATTATCTTCAATGCACTTATGCACATAATTTGTTTACTTTTCCTTTCAAGTTTCATTTAATCTTTACAGGTATTTCAATTATATGTGTGAAATCAATAATAGATTGATCATAGGATCACTCAAT